TAACAAAATAATAAAGTTAAATATACTAAAATTAAAAATAGAAAAAATATTCACATTATTTTAAATCCATTAAACTAATTAAAATGTCTAATATAATACAAACAAATATAAAAAAAGTGGTCCTTGTTGGCCAGTAGGGCTTTATGTTGGTATGAGTTGGGGCTGCTTAGTTGGTCCCAGTATGATAGTGCCCTCTGTACTGCAAGAAATAAAGGGAATCTGCCCGGCAAGCATTGTTAGAGGTACTCCGATGGACTTCGAAGAGGTGCTTGCAGAATTCCAGATTGCATATTTCTGTTGGGCTGGTTTCCCATCTGGGTTGGTCTGGATAGGTGATGGGGCCTTAAACTTCACTGCCATAGGAGGATTGTGGTGATCACACTATCAAAGATTTTAAGCCAAACTCTTACAGGTGGTTTTAGTTTGTAGAGTTGTCACCTGATGGCATAGAAGGTTCTACATGCCTGGTCTCTTAGGTCCTTTATGGCTGGTTTGAAACTTTCTGTTTGGATAATTTCTAGGCTTTTTTTTTTCCACCTCTCTCTTAGCTCTCCTGTGCTTTAAAAAAAAAAAAGTTTTATTACTTATTAGACATATTTGGGTTTAATTACATTAAGTACTATAAAATTTTGATTCTCTGTGGCTAATTCACATGGGTAATTTCTGTATCAGTCTTTGCTTGAGCTTTAACAACATCATTCTTAACCTTGTCATTTATTTTTATATTTTTAATCTGTAGGGATTATGTTTTTTATTTTTTGTGTATCTTTAACAATTGAAAGAAGTTGTTTTATGAAAATCCTCTGTAGGACACTTTTTTGCTAGCAGTTTGATGCTCCCCTTGAGATTGTGCACTATTTACCACTGGTGATGACGATCCCTGGGCTTAAATCTGTCAGAGTGTATTGCTGTTGCTGTGCAGCTCAGCTTTGTGCCCTAGGTGCAGTTTAAACCCTGGGAAGGCTGATGAGTTGCCTTATATCGTTTGGTTGCTACCGTGCAACAGGCATCAACTGAAACAAGTTGGGAATCTTATGCTACTTTTCTTCAATTTTTTTTTTTTTTTGTCATTTAACTTGGATTTTTATTTTTGTTAATTCCCCAATGAGCATATTAAATTATTCGGAAGGAGGTCCAAGTGCTGGTAGGTTTTCATCGAACTGATATTCTCTTTTATTTAGTTTCTATCTTGTGTTACTTTGTCCTGACAGTGGAAAGCACATTGTCTGTTTATTTGCATGACCATGTTAAAGATCTCTTGTTATGGTTATTGTAATACAGAATTTTTATTTACCTTGCTTTAATTTCTGTGACTTGACTAGATGGCTGAATGAATGCAGTGCTAGTATCTTCTGTTATGTAAAAGGATTAGACATATGGTTTAGCTCTCTCTGCCTGGTTTTAACTGCGCAGAGTGTGTTTGTTTGAAACACGCTCTTTTAACATATGTCTGATATTTAGAAGCTATTGATATAGTTTTTTTCCTTCCTTGTATTTAAATTAATATACAGGTTCACTGTTTATAATATTTTAGACCTGTATTTTTTCATGGTTTGTAAAACTATTTATTTTGTAATATTTTAAAATGTAAAAAAATTTGTGAAAAGGATTTGCAATGAAATGACCCATTTGTGTGGTAACAAAGAGGGTCTTCACCTCACCCTTTCCATGATTGGTGTGTGTAATATACACTATATTGCCAAAAGTATTGGGACAACCCTCCAAATCATTGGATTCGGCTGTCCCAATCACCTCCATGGCCATAGCTGTATAAAATCAAGCACCTAGGCATGCAGACGCTTCTACAAACATTTGTGAAAGAATAGGTTGCTCTCAGGAGCTCAGTAAATTCAAGCGTGGTACCAAGATAGGTTGCCACCTGTGCAATAAGTCCATCTGTGACATTTCCTTGCTATTAAATATTCCATGGTCAACTGTTAGTGGTATTTTTAGAGCTGCAACAGTTAATCGATTTTAGTCGCTTAAAATCGATGATTGAAAACGTTGGCAACGTTTTTCGATCGTCGATTCGTCGGCTATTGTTTGCTTAGCCTGTTCGGGATCCGCATAAGCCACGCCCACCGCACAGGCTGAAGTCGCGCACGCCGCTGGTCTCCTCCTCACCGTGAGTTCCCTCACCCGCCGCTGGCCTGCAGACAATCGAGGGCCCGCCTTCTGAAAGTAAGTCGGGAGTGGATTACACTAGAACTGTAGTGATCTGAATATAATGACATCAGCTTATTTTAATAGTGAGCACTTTTCAATTTAGTCAGAATCTCTCAAGGAAACCTCTTGTTATTGAAAAGGGAGGGCCCTTTTCAATAATAAGAGGTTTCTTTGAGAGATTCTGACTAAATTGAAAAGTGCTCACTATTAAAATAAGCTGATCCTTGCCTGCCCTCAATACAAACTAGTGCAACTTGAATGATGTTCCATTTTGCTCATGTAGTTAGCACTTTCCTCCCTGTTCACATAGGAAAGGACTAGCACCAGTTCACTAGAGCTGCAACCAATTATTCCATTAAAATCGACGATGGAAAACGTTGTCAACGTTTTTCCATCAACGATTCGTTGGCTAAAATTCACACCCACGTTGGTTAAGCCGGTAAACCCGCTCACGCGACGCCGCTTACGCCACGGCCACCGGACACGTTGAGGACATGCGTCTGGCCCTCTCCTCCCGGTGAGATTCCGACTCGCCGCTGCCCGCCGACAACGCCGCTGCCCGCTGACCACACCGTTATTCAAAGTAAGTCGAGATCGGCCGGGAGCTTTTTAATGTTTCCTCTTGTGGTTTGTTTTTTTTAAGCGGCACACTGCAGAACATTAGCAGCTATAGAGGAACAACAAATCCCAGTAATAATTAAACACCTTGTATAATGTATTATTGCTGGGATTTGTTGTTCCTCTATAGCTGGTGGTATTCTCCATTGCGCTGTATAATGTATTGCTGTGATTTGTAGTTCCTCTATAACTGATCAGTGGTAATCTGCATTGCGCTGTATAATCATTATACAGCGCAATGGAGAATACCACCAGCTATAGAGGACTACAAATCCCAGCAATAATACATTATATACAACGCAATGCAGAATACCTGCAGTTACAGAGGACTACAAATCCCAGCAATAGTACATTATAGTATAGTGTTGTACTATTGCTGGCATATGTTGTATTCCTATATAGCTGCTGGTATACAGAGCACTGCAGAATACCACCAGCTATAGAGGACTACAAATCCCCAGCAATATTACATTATATACAACGCAATGCAGAATAACGCCATCTATAGAGGAATACATCAGATCCCAGCAATAATACATTATATACATAATAGTATAGTATAATGTACTATTGCTGGCATTTGTTGTATTCCTCTATAGCTGCTGGTATTCTGCATTGTGCCGTATAATCGTTCTACAGCGCACTGCAGAATACCACCAGCTATAGAGGACTACAAATCGCAGCAATAATATATTATATACAGCGCAATGCAGAATAACACCAGCTACAGAGGACTACAAATCCCAGCAATAGTACATTATAGTATAATGTACTATTGCTGCATTCCTCTATAGCTTCTGGTATTCTGCACTGCGCCGCTGTATAATGTACTATATTGCACACCACACTTTTTTTTTTTACTTCCACCGCGCCAAGCTTGCTCCCGTGATGGACTACAATCTCAATAGAAACTAGTAGTCCATCACTGGAGCCTTTTTTTTTTTATCCTAACCGATTAACCGAACTTAACAATAGGCTAACTAATCGATTATGAAAATAATCGTTAGCTGCAGCCCTAGTGGTATTATAACAAATTGGAAGCAACTGGGAACAACAGCAACTCAGCCACAAAGTGGTAAGCCAAGTAAAATGACAGAGCAGGGTCATGACCGCGCATGCTAAAGTGCATAGTGCACTGAAGTCACCAACTGTCTGCAGAATCAATAGCTATAGACCTCCAAACTTCATGTGGACTTCAGTTTGGCACAACAACAGTGTGTAGAGAGCTTCATGGAATGGGTTTCCATGGCTGAGCAGCTGCATCCAAGCCTTATATCACCAAGTGCAATGCAAAGCGTCGGATGCAGTGGTGTAAAGCACGCTGGCCACTGGACTCTAGAAAAGTTGAGATGTGTTCTCTGTAGTGACGAATCACACTTCTCTGTCTGGCAATCCGATGGACGTGTCTGGGTTTGGCGGTTGCCAGGAGACCGGTACTTGCCTGACTGGATTGTGCCAAGTGTAAAGTTTTTGGTGGAGGGGGGATTATGGTGTGGGCTTGTTTTTCAGGGATTGGACTTGGCCCCTTAGTTCCAGTGACGGGAACGCATAAGGCATCAGCATACCAAGACATTTTGGTCAATTTCAACAAGTTTGGGGATGGCCCCTTCCTGTGCCAACATGACTGCTCACCAGCGCAAAAAGCAAGGTCCATAAAGACATGGATGAGCGAGTTTGGGGTGGAGGAAGTTGACTGGCCTGCACACAGTCCTGACCTTAACCCGATAGAACACCTTTGGGATGGATTAGAGCAGAGACTGCGAGCCAGGCCTTCTTGTACAATATCAGTACCTGACCTCACAAATGCGTTTCTGGAAGAATGGTCAAACATTCCCATAGACACACTCCTAAACCTTGTGGACAGCCTTCCCGGAAGAGTTGAAACTGTTGTTCATGTGCGTGTAAAGGCAGGCATCCCAATACTTTTGGCAATATAGTGTATGTCTAAAAGAGCAATTTTCTGCTTCCTGTTGCATCTCTGAAAAAAGAAGTGAAGGTAAATGTTCCCAGCTGAACAAAAACTGTAAAATATGATGTTTTGGCCATGCTTACACTCTTAAGATTGTGTCACTTCAATCTATTCAAGATTTTTTATACATATTGCAAGCAACATTAGTAAAAACTGTAACGTTCTATTATTATTATTAATCATTTATTTTTTTTGCCCTTTTTAAATATCTTATAGTGTCACTAATGTCACTTTTTTTTTTTTGCAGGAGACGGAAATCCCCGAGAAAATAGTCCCTTCATTCATAATGAAGCTGAAAAAGACAACTTCTACGATGGAAAGAACATGGCTCTTTTTGAGGTACTTGTGCATATCTTTTACTGCTTTGTTGCTGGAGCAATATATCTGAATTTTTGGCTGAAAACCTTTATATATTTCCTAAAAGCAGAGGCCCTGTACAAAAAAAAAAAAATATCTAGGTGCAGTTTTTTATGTTGCCTGCTATGTGTGTAAATGTTGATTTAAGTTGATATTTTTAGGAAAAATATGCTAAAATTAATTTTAGTGCACACAATACCAATTTTTTGGTTTTTAAATATAAAAGATGAGATTGCACCAGGTAAATGGATACAAAAAATGTCAAGCCTTAGAATTGCGCACGCCTGTGAAATGGCAATAGACTTTGGTTCGCAAAATTGCAACAACTTTTTAAACGCTTTTACCGCTCATTATTGCTCTGAATTCAATGTTCATGACATTATGTAACGTGTGGCACAACTGTTTGTGTGTGTGTGGGTGAAAGGGCTTTAAAACTTTTTTTTTTTATGTCACTTTAAGTTTTACACTTAACCTTATTGCTATGATATAGGGGGATAACAAGCCTTTTACTAACACATAGGGGAGCACATACATTTATATCTGTATGTGTATGTTAGCTCTAAAGTGGTTAAAGCATATCTAAAACCAAAACTTTTTCTCATTCTGAATAGAGTAGGGTTGAAATTGTCAGTTTCTTTGTCAAGTTGTTTTCAACTGGAAGGTGTCTCAGTATAGGGTAGTGAAGTCAGTGGTACTGGCAAAGTAGGTTCAGCAGGCCCACATCTTTCTGAAGCTATCCAATGTGTCTTGTTTAGTAGCCAAGAGCTCCTCCATCTCGTAGACGTGGCCAACCTGTATGACCCATTCGCGTATTGTGGGTGCATTGTCTGTCCGCCAATGGCGTGGGATAATCGTGCGTGCAGCATTAATAAGGTGTCTGTGTAGCGATTTTAAATGCGCCCATAGGTTTGCCAGGTTCCCAGTGTAGAAGGGAATACGTAAGGGTGAAGGGAAGTGTGGCTCCTGTAATCTTGTGGATAGTTTCGTACACCTTTCACCAGAAGGGTTGTACGTGGGGGCAGGACCAGAAGATGTGTGTGAGGGTGCCCTCGCCGTGTGGCATCTCCAGCAGAACTGGGATACGGCCGGATAAATGCGATATAGTAAATGGGGAGTTCTATACCAGAATGTCAGAAGTTTCTAGTTTGTTGCTTGCATTCTGCTATTGAACGCACATTTACGGGCTGCCGGGCAAATCTCAGACCATGAGTCGTCAGTGAGGGTAGTTTGGAGGGTCCGTTCCCATTTAGTACGCGGGTGAGGCATATGTGAGGAGAGGTCATTCCTGAGCAGGTTATGTATCCAGGAGATTAAGTGTCTAATTGGGCCATTGCCCATGCAGAGTCTCTCAAAGGGGGTGAGGGTTCTGGAGGCGGAGGATCGGCGTGTGGGCACCATCAAGAAGTGTCGTATCTGGAAGTAGATCCACCAGGGAAGTGACCCTCTTTTTGTGAGATCTGAAAGGTCGTTTTTGGTGGCAAATGTTTGGATCTGAAAAAAAGGTGAGCTTGTAGTGGGGGTTCATGGGACCAATGTGAGACGAAATCTCTTGTGACACCTGGAGGAAAGTCTCAGTTATGCATCACGGGTTCCATTGGGCTATGCAGGGAGGTGAGGGCGTTAAGGCGTCTAGCAGAGGAGAAGACTTCAAGGATTGCTCTGATGAGAGGGTGATTTCGAGCTGCTGTGGGCCATAGAGCGTTTCTGAGCCATACCATGGAGGAGAGGGGGATTGCGGACATCACGTCTTCAAGTGATGACCATAATTTAGTTCGGTATGGAGGTGCCAGTGTAGGACCCTAATGAGGTGTGTAGCTTTATAGTACAGTTACATGTCTGGGATCTCTAGGCCACCCTTGCTTTTGGATGTTTTGAGTAGGGACCAGGATATGCAAGGACGTCCGTCATTCCACACAAAAGAGGAGAAGATGGCTTCTAAGGTGCGGAAAAACGAAAGCGGCAGTTTAATAGGGCTGGTTTGGGAGAGGTAGAGGAGCCTGGGGAGAACGTTCATTTTTAATAAAGCTGCTCTTCCAAACCAGGAGAAAGTGTGCAATCTCCAGTCCTTAAGGTCTCTCAGAATGGTCTTGCGTAGCGTCGCAAAATTGGAGTCGGAGTCAGGACAGGTCTGAAGTCAATTTTATCCCCAAATATGGTATGTGGTCAGAACGCCAGAGGAAGGGGAAGGTTGATTGGAGGTGTAGTTTCGTCGTTTAGTGTATGTGGATGGGGTCAGTTTCTTTGCCATTGGGGAGATTGTCCTTTACTTGCTATCTTGCAAACTCAACAGGTGAGAGAATATCTTTACAATGTGAGGCAAATCCTTTCTTATAAAATTGTTCCAGGAACAACTATTTCTGTTCTGGGGGTGCATTATCCTGCTAAAAGAGGCCACTGCCATCAGTAAATACTGTTTCCATGAAGGGGTGTACTTGGTCAGCAACAATGTGTAGGTAAGTTGTATGTGCCAAAGTATCATCCACATAAATGGCAGGACTCAAGGTTTCCCAGCAGAACAGTGCCAAAAGCATCACACTGCTTCCGCTGGCCTTTCTTCTTTCCATAGTGCATCCTGGTGCCATCTCTTCCACAGGTAAACAACACCCTTCGTGATGTATCAGACAAGGCCCCCTCCTTCCATTGCTCCATGGTCAAGTTCTGATGTTCACGTGTCTATTCTAGGAGCTTTTAGTGGTGGACACAGTTGAGCATGGATACCCTGACTGGTCTGTGGCTATGCAGCCCCATACACCACAAACTGTGATGCACTTAATTTTCAGACACCTTTTCATTGGGACCAGTATTAACTTTTTCAGCAGTTTGAACTACATTAGTTCTTCTATTGGATCGGAGTACACAGGCCAGCCTTCACTCCCTATGTGCATCACTGAGACTTGGCCGCCCATGACCCTGTCACCGGTTCACCGCTTTTCCTTCCTTGGATCACTTTTGCAGACTGGGAACATCCCACAAGAGCTGCACTTTTGGAGTTTTTCTGGCCCAGTCCTCTAGACATCACAATTGGCCCTTGTCAAGGTTTCTCAAACCCTTACATTTGCCTGTTTTTCTGCTTCCAACCCATCAACTTCAGAGACAAAATATTCACTTGCTGCCTAATATATCCCACCTACTTCCAGGTGCCATTGTTACCAGATAATCAACGTTATTCACTTCACCTATTAGTTGCCATATGTTATGATTGGTGAATATATAAAATAAATTGCAAATAGGAATGGTGAATCCATAAATCAGGATTTTCTTTTGTTTAAATGCATGTGTTTCATACCAGGAACTCCATTTTCTTGTCCCTTACTTATAGAGGGAGTTTTGAGTTAGTGTGGATATTAAAGATACCCTCCAGCACTTTTCTAAACATCAGTTTTACAGTGGTGACTATGGCACAACAGAAAATGAATATCCTTAACAAAAAAGACGACCACTCAGTACCTAGACATTTTCCGGAAAAACATAATTCAAATCCTGAAGGGTTAAAATTTTCGGTATTGAATGGATCCCAATGGTGAGTGATGAAGGTACCCCCTTTTTTGAGAGTATGCAATAGAGAGGCGTTTTGGATCTATTCGTTTAGCTCCAGGGGGTCTCAACGAAGGCATAGAATTAGCTTCTGTACTATAAAATAGCACCTCGTTCATTCTGTTCTATTCTTCTTACGTTACGTTTTTAGGACTTATGTATGTATTCATCGCCTAATGCTAATATTTTTAGGTTTTCTATTCATTTTCATACATTTTTATACAGTTGATGCACTGATATTTCCAGTGCCGAAACGTATCGGCCGAAAATGACACTTTTGGCAAAATGCCGACCGTGCCATTTTTGTAGCAGAAATAGCGGTGCATCCGTGCTTTCTCTCCTCCTCCCCGCTGGGCGCTGCTCTGTGTCCCAGCGGGGAGGGGAGAAACTGTCACAGGAGGCCGAGCGCTGCAGGAGGAGAGCGCTGTGAGCGGCCGGCGTCTCTCCTCGCACCGCTCAGCTTCCTGACAGATCAGGAGAGCGGTGTGTGGGCGGAGACGGCTCTCAATGCTGTCACAAGAGACCTGCGGTGTAGGGGGAGGAGCCAGCTGTCAGATCAAGATCTCCTCCCCGCACCTCTTGTTCAGCCTCCTGTGACAGCCGATCCAGGATGGAGAGTGGGTGCAAGCACTCAGCAATCAGAGACTGCTGAGTGTTTGTAAATGCTTGAGGACATAGTATGTTTACTGTGTTTTCAATTATGAATGAATGGGAAGTGATCTACATCACTTCCTGTTTATTCATGATTGTGGATATAGTAAACACACTATGTCCACAGTTTATGAATGAACAGTAGAGGTGTAGAATTCCTATCGCCCGACGTCTGGGACATGCAGTTTCGGGCGCTTTGGGGTTTTTTTTTGTACATTTAGCCCCGCTCTGGGCAAGCAGAGCTAAATGTACAGCATGTAGTCGCCGCTCGTTTTAATACAAGTGATCTGATCAGATCACTTGTATCAATCGAGCAGCGGCGATTAGTGTCCAGGGCGTCCCCCCCCACCCTGTGATTTTCGGGGTCCCCCTCTCCTCTGGGGGTCCCGAGACCACGCCACATGAGCTCACCATAGAGCCTGTAGGACAGACGTCTGTTCTTCGTCTGCTATGTGTGTTCACTGAGACTGGAGCGCTTTAATCACAGCGCCACCTGTCTCAGCTGTCAGGAACTGCACAGAACATCTGTACTGTGTTGGAGGGCATGCTCCATAAAGAGAACCTGTCACCTCCAAACTATCACATAGGGTCTTTTAATCCCCTAAGTGATAGGAATAAAATTAAGTGGTAAAAAAACAAAATTAAAAAAAAATAAAGTTGTAAAAAATAAAAATATGTAAAAAAGTAAAAGTGATAAAAGTAAAAATAAATTAAAACCAACCCCGCTGCCCCCGCCATCTGCATGCAACCCCCGCCAGTACAGGTGTACTATCTGTATCCCGTACTGCTGCCCAGTG